TCAAAACCCCCCCCCCCGCCCCCCCGGACATCACCGAGGGTATCGCAACAAGATTTCATGGGTCAAGATTTTTCTTTGTGGTGGACGAAACAGACTTCTCTTCTCTCTGTGCTCGGGTCTTTTTTTGTACTTTTGTTGTATTGTGACATCAGACAGCTGCTTGCTTCTTTGTGCTTTAAAATCAGCCTGTGTGAAGCTGCAGTTATAACTTGGATCAGCACAAGCATGAAGAAAGCTGAAACATTGGCGTCATTAAATGTTAAATTAAGTTGTATATGTTTCGTAAAAAGATTTTCTCTGATATCTAATAACTGTATATTTATTTTTTTAAGTGGGCTTTAAGTCCATTTTCCTTTATTGGAAAGCATATATTTGTTCTGTCATAATGTCTACATGCTCACACTTAGTGAACATCCTCAATCAGTTGTGACATAGAGACAATCTATAATATAGCATGAACTGAATTGTAAATGTGAAACGTTTTGCAGCTCTTTTGACAGCTGTCAATGACACCACATTTAACAGATATTATTTCCTCCTTCAGATCTTAGGCCTTAAATCAGTGTAATACAACAACTGATGGCTTCATAAAGCTTTCTGTGCTAGCATGTGGTACCTGTTGGCGAGCGTGTCGATGCGTTCCTTGATGCGGTCGGAGTAGATGTTGCTCTGGCTGATCAGACTCTCCCCGGCCTCGATCACCGCTTTGATTCTGTGCAGGTTCAGCTCCATGGTGGTGGTGAAGTCTTTGTGTTTCTTGATGGCGGCCTCCACCGTTTCCACTGTGGTGGGAAGCTCCACGTGAGCAAGCGCCGACTCCTGGGAAACAGTAAGGTGGTTTCCTGGTTTAGTCGGTAAGTGAAGATATAAAAACAAATCTGAAGAGCATAGAATGGAAATGGATCGGGGTGCTAAATGTCTGATTATACAAAGAATTGCTTAGTTTCTCCTTATCAATCATGATACATGGCCTATTTTGGGTTAAATATAGGTCTATAAACAATACCAAATTATTTAATTGACATTTGCAAAAAAAACCCTCAAAATGTAGGCACATAATTTCCAGCTGGTGAAATATCCTAAAAGCTTAATAACGACAACATAAGGCTTCTGTTTTAAAATGAAAGAAAACAGAGAATAAGACTGTGGCATAATCCTCTAAATATAGCCACACTGTACAAACACACACATACACAAACAGCGCTGTCTATTATAATAAAAGCTCAGTTCCTGTCACATGAATCTCATCACTACTTTTCCATATAAAGCTAAAATAAATCAGTCGAGGCTAGGCAAGACACAAACTACCCCATTTGACCATGTAAATTGCTAGTGTTTTTTTGCTCTCATATATTAGACTGAATAAGGAATTATCCAGTCAATTAAATAACCGTTTTGCTTTTTCCCCAAAAACCTGTTTCATTTTGTTCCATCAATCACTGCATATTAGTGCATTTAAGAAAAACTACTCAAACAAAGCTTATCATTACCGGGGTCCCGTGTTGCCTGTGGCCGCCGATAAAATAAAAATAAAACAACAGAGCGGCGGACAGAGATCTGCGGCCTGGAACGTCTTTGATACTTATTAAAGAAGAATCAAACCCCCGGGCTACTGAGGAGAGCTGGTCACTGGTAATCATCTGTTTAGTTCAGGGCAGCTCTGCCTGTGACATTTAAGATTTGAAAAAAATGATCAGCGATATTTTTTCCTTCCCGATAACGATGCATGAACTCGAATATTGGCTCAGACAGCAGGCTGTGTGTGTGTGTGTACACTTCCAATGTTGATTTTTGATGCAGCTATTTTTTTTGCCAGAAAAACAAAGATGGAATGAGCCAATACGTTTTCTCAGGCAGGACGTGCCGATCAAGTGGTGAGTGACACGTGTTGTTGTCGGTCCTTTGTAGCGTAATGATATAATAACGTGATATTGGATCGCTTTATACTCGCCGATACCCGATCCGGCATTTTAGGTGGTATCAGAGGCATTAACCTTACAAGTGAAAAAGCAAAACGTCACCCACACGGCGCTATGTAAAAACAGCCTCATTAAAGCACATGGTACTACATGGCCCATACATCAGCTGTTGAGCATAATTAACCAGAACTTATTTCATGTTATAAATAAAAGCTATTTAAGTCTTGCTAGAAACTAGTTAATATGTTGTTTGTGTAAAAAGCCAGTTAACAACAAATAGTAACGTCACAAAGAACGGAGAATGAATGATTTCAGAGAAATCTGCGCAGAAGCTTTGGAGAAATGTAATTTCGACCTACGACGTAGAGCTGAGAGCTGAGAAAGAGCTGCCCGGAGAGACGCTCCTCAAAATCTCCTCTTACCTGGTTGTTCAGGAAGGATTCGGCCTGTTTGACATCTCGCAGGAAGAGGTGGAAGATGTGAGCCTGGACCAGAACTTCTCTCCGGCTCTCCCACATCTCCAGGAGTTTGTTCCAGCCGACGTCGAGCTTCTGCAGCCACTGCTGCAGGGCGGCTTGAGGTAAGGGAGCCTCCTCAGACTCGAGCAGGTCGTTCATGGCCTGCAGGCGCTCGTAGTCCTCCTCGTACCTGCACAGAAACACAATGAGAGGCCGTGACACATGTTGTCACGGTGAAGATTTGTTTCCTCCATTTGTCCTCAGAGACCCACCGTCCGATCTCCTCTTTCAGCGCTGCGTGTTTGTTAATGAGCTTCTCTGCCTCTTCCAGGTCGTTGGGAAGCAGGTCAGAGGCGGCGGCCGTCTGCGTCTGGACCAACCAGGTGAGGAAAGAGTCGAGGTCCTGGCGGTCAGATAGAGGAACAACAAATCAATTCTAGTCTTGGTCTGCAGTGCAAAAGTTTGATCAGACGGACAAATTGCCTGAAAAACGTCATCACATTAACACCATACGAAGGGTTTCTCTGTGTGTAAAAACATCCATCCCACCATCCATCCCATTCATCCATTACAACTCTCTATCTATGAGGCCCAAAAGTTCGGTTTGTCTGTTCCTGGACCTAAAATACTGCCTCCCATACATGGCACTATCACTGGGATGGAGGAGGATGCCGAATCAGTCTGTATTCAGTAGGGTCAGAGTGACGGGTTGTACCTGTATGAAGCTCTGCAGCCGACCAGCCACCATCAGTGAGTCCTCGCAGCCCTGCAGGGTGCGTTTCAGCTCCTCCCACTCCACGTTGATGCCATCGAACGGCATGAGCACCTCCATGGCCCGAGCCGGGTGGGCTGTGGCCATTTGCTCCGCCTCCTCCTATATCATCAAACAGAGACAGTGTTTTAGTTTTATGCTACTTAAAACAACCTGCCTTTAAAATCACATCAAGCTCCGTATCCGTAAATCTCTTGTCTTTCCTCACGCTCACTGGCTTGGTTAAAAAATGAAAAAAAATGCCCACTATGCTGGTATCGATTTCATCTACACATAAATAAAAAAGTTTACAAATTAACAGGAAGTTAACTAAGCTATTATCTAGACAGATTTGTGGTTATACAGAACAACTACAGTGCAAAGCTCAAATGAGTGTCTTCCTTTACTGGCGGTTCACTCAATCTATATTTCCCATAATTCCTTACCTGCAGGTGCAGCAGTTTGGGCTCCAGGACCGACAGGGCCCCCTCCATGGTGGAGAGGCGTCTCTGCAGAGCCAGGACTCCCCCCAGGTCGCTGCCCACGTACTGGGTGGCGTCGATGGCTTTTCTCTTTTCCTGGATCTGGGACTTGATCTCGGCACACTCCAGCAGGTAGTTCTGCAGCCGCAGCATGGAGCCCAGCTGATCCTTCTTCTGCTCCACCAGCTCCACTATGCTGTTCCACCTGGTGCGGAGTGACAGACAAGCAGAGACTGAGAATGGGGGCAGTGAGATTCCTCTGGAATTCCTTCCAGATTTGATTTATGCTAATTTTTGTGACACGTGTTGTTTTTTTTAAGGTTCTCAGAACACAGAGCCGCTTTGGGTCGTCCTCCAAACCCCGAAACCCGCCAAGAGGGATGAAACAGCCAAAATGACACAACCAGAAGCAGTTGAATCCTACATTGTTGTCCAATTTCCATCCTTCTAAAGCTTAAATAAGGTAATTAATACTTTCTGGTAACTGTTTCATTTATAACTGCCGATCCACTGATTGAAGGATGACTCTTCTCCACTACCAAGCCTCAGTCGCCCAAAATCTGAGGATGAAAGATGAAAATATGACAGAATGCCACAAAAATGCTTTGTGTTCAGAGGGTTGATGCAGAATTTATTTTCCTCCTAGTAAGGTTTAAAGATGATGAACTGTAAGACTACTAGACCTAATTCCAGCCCTCCATTGTTCCAGGTTAAACAATAAACTGTACATGATGGCAATAAACCAGAGTAATACTTCTTTTATTGTTAGATATGGTGCTTCTATTTTAAAGCTAAATATACCTGATATGATTCCTGGTTCGGTCAGCTCTCTGGCCGGGTCTCGTCTGCTCCCCATATCGTCATACCTTATGTTCGCCTGATTCTCCTCCAGCAGAGGCTGGAGGCCCCATGCGGCAGACACAACGCTCTGCAGGTGCTGACTGTGACCTCAGAGCTGCTAAAGTGGCTTTAAAGATGCACCGCGTTGCTGCTGATTGTTGTGACGTGTGTGTGTGTGTGTGTGTGTGTGTGTGTGTGTGTCAGACACGCAACAATACTTGAAACATCACGTGTGTGTGTGTGTAAAAACATTGTTTTTAATGTATTTAAATATGGAATTGGGAAAAAAGTGAAAGTATGCTTAAATAATTCTTGATGATTTCATGACATAATCCGAATAATAACATGAAATTAAATGAATGTAATTTTCCAAAAACAGTTGAGTAAGAAATAGTCAATTTGTGCGTTGCAGCAATCTCTTCATCTAAAATGTTGTTAACTGTCATTGGCTTTGACAATATTTTAAATAAAAAAACAGCAATAACTAATACTATATCAAATCTATAGCTAGCTATATCATATTTTGAAAAGGTATAAAATGTAAAGGCGTAGGAAGAAACTGACTTTTTTTTTTTACATAGTCAATAATATTAAACTATTCATTCAATGTGAATTTAAAACGCAATAATCCCAAATATGTACGTAGTGTTCATGTCTAAATAGAGCAAAGACATTATAGTCATGGTCCTAAAACAACAAACAATTTGCATGACTAATCCCAGAAACATAACTTCCTTTTTTAATTTCTTTTTTTGTCTTCCGGTCTCTGCTGGCCTGGTCTCGAAAGAGGCAGCCGGCACAGATGGTCGCCCCGAGACCAACCTGAGCCAAGGCCACAGGACCCCCAGACACCCGGCCGCCGTGGACACTGCTGGCAGACGTAGAGGCGGTCAGCCGGTGTGGCTGAAGCGGATAAAAAAGCAGGCTCCACCTGGCCGGATGTCGGCGTACGTAGCGGTTTGCGGGAGCGAGAGCAGCATCGTTGCACAGACAGCTATAAAATAGTTCTAAGTTTATGCCGCTAACCACAAACATTAGAACTAAAGGCTAGGGACAAACAAAAGAAAATGTGCTTTTAAGAGAAGACACTGTTGTTTTGGTCCAGATCTGTCAAGTCAAGTTGCAGATACTTTCTTTCAGTGCTCATTCCTTTTGGGGCCCCCGAGCGTTTACTACTTGGCAGAAGACCTCGGACAACAAAGCGATAAGAATATTTTTTAGAATTCTAGAGTAGCGGCACTTGAGCGGATAACCAAAAAAGAAATGTCTGGATGAAGAGGTGCCACGACCAAGCAAAGGCAAGGACACAATTAAGAAAATCTATAAAATGGAGATAATGAATCAAAACTAAACTGTCTGATGTGGGAATGAAGAGCACAAAGAAAACAAAATCAATAAAACTATATTCTAAAATAATTCCAAGCTATGGGTGTAACTATTTTTATCTGTTTTGTTTTACCTGTTTTTGATCTACAGCTTTGACATTTACAAGTCATTTTTGATACACATACTCTTTTTTTCCTGGATCACAATTCATTAAACAAAGGGTTCAAAGGGAAGGAAAAGTTAAATCAAATACAATTCAAAAGTATTTTAGATCAACTCTTTGTTGTACTGTGAGCCAGTGGCAAGCGATGTGTTCAAATTCAGTTTTTGTTAGAACTGGCTGCAACATTCTGAATAAGTTATTCAACACGTTGCACTACATTCATGTAATCTACTGGAAATAAGAAGGCCGTCTTGGAAAAATTAGATATGCAATTCGAGAAGATAAGATCCAACACCCATCTATCTGCAAAGTAGTTATTGGCTTATGGCTAGTACTCTCTTCTTTGTAGTTCCACGCAGTGTCTGTATCACTTCAACATCCATTTTTCTAGGCTTGCGTCGCTATCGACGCAAGCGACGCAAGCCTCCCGCAGCGCACAAGGCTGCGATTGGTCCGCTAACTACATCCATTACGGAGTCTCGCATTTCCGTTTTCATAGCTCGATACCGCCATTATTAAAACAAAGAATGTTTAGAGAGAACGGATCCGATTGAATTGGTTCGAGTGCGTCGACGCAACGACGCAGACGCAGAAGCATGCGCCAGCCTTTAGAGTTGTAATGCATATAGTGATGCTGCTGTCAGTAGAGGGCAGGGGTGTCAAACGAACCCCTCACGTCGGCCAGACCATCGTCTATGATTTTACTCGTCTGGGCCCATTTCAGATCAAAGTGGGTAGCATGTGGCCCCTTATCTAAAATGAGTTTGACACACCTGGATTTGGGTAAGAATTTTGTATTGCCACGCTTTGTTAATATATTCATTATTACTAGTATTTGATGCAATATGGATATTTAATAATACAATTAATAAAATGTTTGAATAATTCTAATTATTGTGTTGTCATATTGATAATTATTTCATCACTTTTCTATGGTTTATCTTCCTCTACATTGTGTTTAAATGATGACCTAATGTGTTTCGGTTTGAAAGCTGCTTTACAAATAAATGTTGCCTGATTTGTAACAGGTGTAATATCACATTGAATAATTTTTTAACTGACTTATCCACATAACGATCAATCAAACATCAATCAAAATTAAATTCATCAAATGGGCTGACAAAAAAATGCAAAAAGTTCTAATATCTGTGGCTGTTGCATGAATGTGAGCAGTCCCACATAAACTGCATATCAGAAATGTTTGACGCTGTGACGTCAACCATTGGCTTGTTTTGGCCATCGCCATCTTGGAATATGGACATTGCCATAGCAGTTATTTTCAACGGAATCGATCATAATCGAACTGCGTAAGAATGACATAGAGACCTTTCCTATGTCTTTAGTAGCCGTAAAGCATACTCTGCTGTATGTTCTATTTGACGCTAAAGGGACCATCATTTACCAAATGAACACCAAACTTCATTGAAGAAGACTTGAAATTAAAGATTGGGACCATCAACTCAGGTTTTAAATTAAGTGAGAGGTAGAGTCATTCTCATAGACTTCTGTACAATATGATGCGTTTTAACAACAAGGGGAATCGCCTCCTGATGGCCAGTAGAAAGAATGCAAGTATAAGAAACTTCCCAATAGGCTTCACTTTTTCAAACCGCAGATTGCAGCGCGGTCAACTTACCAGGCTTCCCTGCACTCGCTGCACGTCACTGGCCACTGGTCACTAGAGTCTCCCACAACCTACTGGCCTGAATAGCTGATACTACTAACATTAGCCATGTGTCTTGTTTACGATGACGATCATTTCGGGGGCGTGGCTTTGGAGGGGGCCTGAATGGACGGGCTGTCAGTGTTGCCGACTTTCATGCTAGATTTAGTACATTCTGAAGCAAGCGCTGCTAGCTTCTGTCATTGGAAGAGTTATTGGGTAAATGTAAATGCAAGGAGAAGTAAAAGTAAGTTTCCCGTACCTGGAGTTGAGGTGATCCTGACAACCTCTGACCTCTGTGGAGGAAGGATGACCTCCATCCAGCAGCTGCTGAACTATCTGGTTAACGTCTAGGATCCTTCCCATCAGGCTGTTCATCTCCTGGTCTAAGCTCTCAAACCTACAAAGGGCATTGTGGGACACAACAGGACAACATTTGTTTTCTTCAGTGACTAAAAACGTTTGATTTAAACAAACCTAGCTGAGCTTCCACGTGCTGCCACCTCCCCTGCCTCACCTGTGTGCCACCATCTCCACGTCCTCCAGTCTCTCCGGGATCTCCATCTTGTCCAGCCACTGCTCCTTCTCGTCGATCCACAGCTCGCAGGCGTTGACCTCGCTGAACATGCGGTAGACGGCGAGGGCGTCGTGAAGCCACTGCTGTCTGAGCACCGCCACCTCGGCCACTTCGGTGTAAAGCTGCTCCACCTCTCCCATGCGCACCTGCACCTCCTGCCGAGGGCGGAGGAGGGGGACAAAGAAGGGGCGAAGGAAAGGATGTTGAGGGACATACCAAACACTCTACAGTCGACAAAAAGTGAACCATCCTTTCCCCGCTCACCTTCTGCTCTCTGTACTGCAGAGGCAGCGCCCCCATATGTTTCCGCAGTGCCACCACGTGCATACGGTGCTTATCAACGGCCTCGCTGACCCCCCGGTGCTTCTTCAGAAGCGACTGGGTGGAGTATTCATCGTGTCCAAAGTCTTCGCTGGAAACCAGGCGGTAGGCGTCCTGCAGCCACGCCACCAGGTCGTCCGTCTCCGTGGAGAACTGGAAAAAGTTGAGCGCCTCCTGCAGGTGGCCGAGACGCTGCGCGGCCTGGTCCTCCAGCCTCTTCCACTCGCCCTTCACCTCCATGATGCGCTCCTGGATGCCCGCCGTGCCGAAGCTCTTGTCGCTCAGGATCTGCTTTCCTCGTTTCATGGTGTTCTGCGGGAGCAGGATACGGTGGAGGATTTACACTGTTACTGATGATTATTTTAGGCAGGTTCTTCAACAACAACTTTGAAACGATAAATACCTAAAAGAATACACTGTAATATGTAATATCTTGCATGGACCAAAACGTCTTCTTATCTTCCCTGCATAGAGCCTGGACCTTGATGTATATTTTTGACCCAGCAGATTTAATCACTTTTTCTGTTAACCCATAATAAAGTCATAAAAGAACCAAACTTCATACATTTTTGTTCCAATCCCTCTATCAGAGAAAAATCTGACTTGTAGAAATAACGGGAAACTCAAGAGAGCCATGGCATTATGTTCTTTACAAGTGTATGAACTTTTGACCACAACTGTATGTGCAGTTTTTTTGACTTTTCAAATTAACTTAGACTTTTATGTATTTTACCATCAAAATCCATTAGTCTGACTAAAAGCGGCCTGCATTACGCAAGGTTCTTTCTACGCAAAGGATTGGCCAATTAGTGTGATTAACACCTTGGAATCGTTGGAGCATATAAACTGAGCCATTTACACTGACCTGTAACCTGGAGCAGCAGAGCAGTTTCATGGTTGAGGTTGTGCTGAGGTGTAACCTTTGAAGAACAAAAGCTTCTAGAAGCCCAAGAGAGTGGTCATACTGGCTAGCTCAGATTAGTCATTTGGCTGGTAGCTAAGACTTTTCATGGCAAACTGCTATGGTGAGGGACATTTTACAACCATCTTTTGACAAAAACGATCCTTCTTTTTGGCCCTGGTACGCTGAAGGTTTCACCGGAGAGAGTTGAGCTGCTATTGAAACTTCAGTCTTCTTTTTGCTGAGATGTTGTTTGTGTGTTAAAGCCAAAGTAGCTACGAGCTACAAATGTTTCAACTAGCTACGTTGTCCATTTCTAGTCATCAGAGTTATGATATTTGGTTATTCAGTTGTTTTTGAGTTGAGTTGGAGCATATATAAATAATATTTCTATATAATTATGGCGTGCATATACTTGTAGCCCTGGTTCTACTGTCATTTGATGGTAAGACGCTGTTAACTTTGAACTTTCGTCAGAGAAAATTGGGGTCTATGGGCCTACGGTTTTAAAAGGGATAGTTTGGATGTTATGAGGTGAATTCGGACGGGTTGCACGGGCTACTTATTTAGTCAGTTTATTACCTAAGGTAGGTGTATGTGATGGTGATGTGTACTGCTGTGGACAGATTTTAAGATCGCACTACTGGTTTTGTAGCTTTATTTTATGCTTTCTTCAAAGACCGGACTCCTTTGACAAGGACACTTGCTGGTGTAGGTCTGCAGTCCATCAATTAGTTGATTTTGTTATTGTGTGATTTTGGTGTTTTAAAAGATCACTATTTTGGATTGACCAAGACGCAATCACACAAACAGAATAATCACTTGCAGACAGCAACGGATCAGCGACCAAATTGGTTGTCTTGTTTCCAATGGAGTCTGGCGACTTCAAAGAGAGCATGGATGGATATAAAGGCTTCAGCTCCCCTTGGAAATGGCAGAAAGGTAAAGTGGTGAAGTGAAATATTCTAAATATAGCGTCCACTTTTTTAGATATCTAAAATGCATTTTGCTGCTGCCCTCATCCCCTATCTTCCTCCAGTGCTGCTCCTCCTGTCCGTTTCCTCAAACAGCTGGCGCGTTGACCAATATCTACTATAGTCAGGAGGGAGCAGGGTCGTCCTTCAGTCAGAAGATCAGCGGTAAACATGTAGTGTTTTGTGTGGTTGGAAGAAAAGCAACATTTGAGTCGATTTACCAGTTGATCGTGTCTATGGATAAATACCACTAACAGTCACACTTTTTTAAATGTACGTGAGCTCAAAAGTAGTTTGTAAATGAATAAAACTGAACTGAAACTCCAGGTATTGTAGTTTCTTCCAACACAAAAACTCATCAAACGCATCCACACCTGCAGCAGCGAGCGGTGGGCCAGCAGTTCTCCAGCCAGGGTCTTGTGTTTCTGAAGTAACTTCAGCACGCTGCTCAGGTCCTTCCCGTAACCCTGAGCTCCCAGGATGGAGCTCTTCTCCCGGATCCAGGCCTCCGACTCCTCCAGCTCCTAAGAAGAATAGAGATTTACATTTTAACATGTAAACAAAGAAAAAATATATATACAGTATATTCAATGGAAATATTAAATAGAAGAGAAAAATCATTGTTGAAAGAATTCCAGCCGGATCCCAGTATGAGTCTGAGAGCCTCACACAAATGCAGAAGGGGAATCAGTCAAATGAATCAGTAATGTAATGTAATAAGTGATTGAACAGAGTGCACCAATGACTCTGCTTTCAAAGATATCTGGTATTCTCATTAAACGCTCATTACTTTGAGAGTCGGTTCTAAAAGCTTAGTCGCTAACACTAATAACTCGTTCATCACCTCTGTGTGAGTGACGGACAGCTTTATCAGCAGATAGAAACGTATTCTGAGTCTGACACAAGGATGCCAAGAAACGAGATGGTGCATGTGAAGAAGTGCAAAAGATGCTTGATAAATGAAAAAAGGTGTTGGGATTTAGATTGTATCCGAGTGTTCAAAAGCTTAGAGGGTGGGTCCATAAACGGACAGCTTAATTTGCCTAAAAATGATTTTGTATTTGCAGAACTAATGGGATAATATGTTGTACCATCTCTCCAAGCCTAAAAGAGAGAATGCTGTGTTATTCATTCATTTCTCATATAGGAGGAAAATAAATAAACAAACAATCTGATATGATGAAGGTTAACTTAAAGAGTGACACCCCGATATGTGGAAAATATGGTGAAAAGTATGAGCTTGAAAGAGCTACATTTTACGACAAGCCCTTCAAATCAGGAACACTGGGTCCCTGAATCTTCTAAACGCAGCATCACCCTGCCGACCCCCGCTACCTGAAAAAAGGCCCACAGCTGTCTCGACTCCTCCAGCTCCTCTCGCCTTTTAGCTGCCAGTTGTTTCAGCTCCTCCAGACAGGTAGAGACGTGGTTGACGCGGTTACAGATCACCTGTGGGTCGCAGGGCTGGTAACCTGGGTAAACAATACAAATCAGGTTAGTGACTGTTAAAAATACCACAATGGATACAGCGCTTCATGCAATACAGGAGCTTACTGATATCGAGCTGTCTCAATGTCGAAAACGTCTTTCAAGACTGAAACAAATCAAACTTCTAAAAAGCCTTTTGTCTTTGGAGCTGCTAAACACACTCATGAAAACCGAATGCCGTCTGCCTGCTACCGTACAGTGTTCATACACAGAACATTGTTATACCCTCTATAGTTGTGAATTTGAGTGCAGCAGTGTTGAGCGTCTCAACCCTCTCGGCCTGCACTGCGATGTCGGCTTCCTGCAGGCTGTGTTTCTGCAGCAAGTCGTCCACCTCCAGGAGGTGCTTCCCAAAGTCCTTGGACAGAAGCTGGACCTACGACAGAGCAGGAGACGACAGGGAACATGAGTGATGTGAAGTTGTTACGTCATCTTCCTTCTTTGTCTCTTTGTGTTCTATTTCCTCCTCCGTCTTTGTTTAACCACTGAATACAAGTGTCTCTCTTTCACACAAGGCCTCCGGTACCTGTGTGTCATCCATCCAGTCGATCATGTAGACCATGTCCTGGAAGGTCTTCTGCAGGGCCAGGTTCTTCTCCAGCCGGGTCCTCCTCCCGGCCACCAGCTCCTTCAGCAGACTCCACTGGCCCAGGATGTTCTCTTTGCGTGCTAGGATACGCCGAATGTCGTAGTATGCTTCTGTCTCCATCTCCGCCGCCAGCTCCACCACCACGCCGATGCGCTCTTCGTACGAGGCGATGTCCGCCTCGATGGCCTCATGCTTCTTCATGGCCGCCTCGACTGCTGGTAGGTCGTAGCCAAAATTGTCCTGTAGGAGAAGAAAAGAAAGAAAACAGCGTGAGATGCGCAAAGAAACTGGGGAGACAAAGAAGTGAAGGGGGACTAATCTAATGAGGATGAATACCTGAGTAGTACAGGGCTTCACATGTATTAAAACACAGGTTGATTTTCTAGGAATTCATCCGCATGTATTGATATTCTCTTCTGCAGTACATGTAGGAATCTTGCACAATTTCATCTCAGTAAAACACCAGGATTATATTATTATACAAGTATTTCTTTAATTTGAAAGGTTCTGGACGAAAAGCATTCAGAATACTGAGTAAAATAAAAGAGCACTTTAAGCAGAGCGTCACAGTTCTGCAGTGGAGCTCAAAACATGAGACCATGAGAAAAAACACATTATATGCAGTTAGACTGATCACAAATGTTTGGCATTTTCATTTACCATTAGGTCATCTGTCATCTGCAATATTTGACTTTGCATCCGTGTAAAGGGAAAAAGTAGTAATTTATACAATTAAAATGAAAGGGACCTTTCTAAACCAACATTTAGCAGGCTATCGTTTCCCCCCGTGCAGTCAAATCGTTTTGCTTATCGGTTATTCAGTGTTCAGGGTCCGTACCTGCGACACGAGCCGTTGGTTCTCATTGAGCCAGGCTTGTCTCATGGTGGTTTTGTGATCGAAGCACTGAGCAAGCAGCTCCAGCTTCTCCTGACGAATCAGCTCCTTGCGCAGAGCGACGCCCCTTTCGTGTTCCGCCTTCTCTAGCCTCTCCCAGGCCTGGGCAGGAAATGACAAAAAACCAACAACAACACAAAAAACAGTTAAATAGTGGTAACGTGGCAGGGGGGGGGTGGGAGTAATGGAAAATATAACAAGTTAAACAGGTCAATGTAACGAAAAAACTTTGGAAAGTATTTTCTCTATTTAAGAATGATGTTTAATCGATAACTTATAGCTGAAACACTGGATTGTTAGAAAACCAACACCGCTGCAGGATGTATAGGACCTTGTTGATGTCTGAGATGAGCTTCCCATCATGAGGCACGTAGGGTTTCTGGTTGTTGGCTCTGAGCTTGCTTTGGATGGTGAACAGAAGGACCTCGAGATTCCCCTTTTCCTGAAACCTGAGCGAGAAACAGAAGTCAACACACGTTTTCTCTTTGGACAGTGCCCTCCTGTGTACGGCACGCCTAAAGCACTCTAAACTTTGCTTGAGAAAAGCACAAAGGTCGAGGACGATAGAAAGGTATGCAGATGAGCTCCGGTCCATTTCCCAGGAGAGACTGACTAATTCGGACAAGTATGTGATTTAGCTGCTGATTATTCCTTAAAAATGTTAACGGTGATGTGATTTTGTACATTTTCTGTATATATGAATTGAATGTACTTACTAGCTACAATCAGAGAAAGGACATCAAGTTACCCTTTGTATTTACAAGCAGTGCGTTAACAACTACATAGTCTCCAGTAAAGGCTATGCATGAATTCGTACGCATGCGTTAGTAGATGTGCTCTGCAATGAATGAAAAAGATTTCTTAAATATCAAATATCAAGAGAAATCCCCCAGAAGCGTACTTGATGGGCTTCTCAATAGTGCAGTAGGTTGTGAAGGCCAGTAGCTGCTGCTGAACTCCCGTCAGTGAGTTGGCAAACTTCTGGTTGCTGATGACCGCGATGGTCTTCTCTATCCAGTCCAGCAGGTCCGAGGCCAGGGCCTCGTAGCGGTTGATGATCTTCTCCGCCTCAACGCAGTTTTCAAGGACCTGGGTCAGTGAGACAGAAGGAGGGAGGTGTGTAATCTCTCAAACAAATGACACATGGCGTTCTGCCGCTATCGGTTTCTCGCCCCTCTATCCAAACATTACGAACAGCCGGGGTGTGGTAACATCGCGTGGGATCATAGGACATTTACCTTGCCAACCCTCTTGCCCTCCACAATAAGAGCCTTCATCTTGGAGAAGTAGTGGTAGTAGGAGACCACATATGTGATGATGGACTTTTCGTCTGGGTTCTCTGTGTTCACATCTGAGATGGGGGGAGGTGGTGGAGAGAAGAGGAGTTACGGTCATCTTCACTTCAGGTGGAAGCACACGCTAACTATTTATCTCGATGACTTAAGGAAATAAATAATACTATATGCCATTACTTTGGTGATAACACCGATATCATTGTATTTGAGGTTGTGTCTGAACTGATCAACAAAGCCAGTTGAACATTCTCACCCTCAGGGTCCAGGAGTTTGGTGAGGCCCAGGTGCTGCTCAGCGACGTTGAAGGCTTGCTGGAGGTTGTGGGTGGCATTGGACCGCGTCAGCTTGTTGAACTCTATCAGGTCAGACCTGGAGGGCCCAAGATGAAGGTACAGTACACTGGTTGTGGCAATCATAAAAAAATAAATAATATTTAAAAAAATAAACCACCTACCGGTGTCTGTGTATGAGGGCGTTAAAGGCGAGGCCGTCTCTCCAGCAGGTGGTGAAGTTCTGGATGTTCACCTCAGGGTACCTGCAGCGCGGAGAGATTCTTTTATCACAACTTGAAAACCGAAACCCACCAGAGACGCTAGCAATCACACAAGCGGTGGTGAGAACCACAGTCGCAGCTTGCAGTCTCCTGCATTGTTCTATTCTACTGCTCACCCTGCAGTCTTCATCTGGCACCAGAGCAGCAGGGCGTCCTTGGCAGAGCGAGTTTCCCTGTTGTCCTCCGTCTCTATTTTGATCACCTGGATCTGAAGAAGAGCACAGCGAAGCAGGTAGTCTCGTTTCGTTATTTACTATTGAGGACTAGGTCTACTAGTGAGTTTAGTGCGTGGAATTCAATCATTGTGAATCAGATTATTTTATTTGGATTTTTTTGTTGTCGTTGTATATGGCAACAAGTAGGCAGCCTCAAAAGTTGTCACCAGCTTTCAAGATCCCTGATAGGTTAAGTAAAACAACCATTGTTAAGATTTATCTAGCTGGGGCTCATTTCCTAACCAGTTGGAGTTTTATCCACAAAGCCACAAGAAAGAGAGACCACCGGCTCTTTTGGAACCACTCGTAACGGTATTCCTAAAACCTCAAAAGACCAGCCGCAGTGGAAGAGGACTATAAGCAACAACAGACGCGAGCCGTGAGAGGCGAGGGTCTGCGGCGAGGAAGTGAGGAGGCTTTGTAAAGCCTGACGAGAGATGACAGTAACAGCCATTCAGCCGATAACATCACAGTGACATGATCGAAGGTAATTGGGGACATGACACCCTGGAATCAGCTGCTAACCACGTTGTTAGGCACAACAGTGCATGCACACGCGCACACACATACACACACACACAAACGCAATTCTGGGAACTCACATGAAGAAGATGATCACTGAACGTGAGACCAGATGACATTTTGAGATGATGTTGATATGAGAGAATATCAGAGTGAAACCAGCACAAAATGTTGCTTTCATCACATCCTCTACGATTAAAAAACACATTGATTGTACAAGTATCAGATATTGGACCCATACTGAATCAAATAGCTGGATTGGGTAATAGTCAGACCAATCTAAGTCCTTTCTGTTTATATACCATAGGAATTTAAATTCCAGTGTATATAACGTCTGAGTCATGTCTAAGTTTTGACCAGTGTTGCTCCATTTAAAAAGTTTACACTTGACTGTACATGACTGTAATATGTTGCTTGTTATTGATCTCACCGATAACTAGCAACAAAACATCAACATATGAACCATTTCACAAAGATGAAATGCCTTTACTTTAAATGTTAATCTATATATCAGGTAAAATATTCACTTAAACTGCATCAACGTGTTACTGCAAACAGAAAGTGAGCAGGCAGTGTATTAGATAAGCACGCAAGACACAGACACACACACACACACACACACACACACACACACCAACACCAGTCCTCTGCACTGATCTTCTTTCTCAGCGCATGCAAAATTGAATAGACCGTCGACTGGTGGCTCTCGAGTGGGAGGACGGGACACCAGCCAAGCGCACTGCTAATGGCGGAGGAGCTATTAGCCAGCTAGCGTTTATACAGCCTTCACACTGTACGGTACAAGGTTGACTCAAAACATAAGCCAGCATTACTGAATAAACAAACAGGGCTGCCACCAACTGTGACACTTTCTTAAGCATCGCTGTGCTGTAGATATTAAATCAATTTGTGGGGTACATTTTTGTATTTCAATTTTTATCGCTTTTTTAAAGGCTGGTCCATATATATATATAAAAAAAAAGTATATATATATTCATTTTTTTTATATAACTTTTACATGATTCTGTAGCCTCCCAGTAGTGTTTCCTGGTGTATTCAAATCTCCCCAAAATGAAGCAATAATGTTTAGAATCCACAATGCTATTTGTCCAAAATGTGACCTGATGTAGGTTAACAAACCCCAATGTGTCCACATATGAGCCCCCCCACCTGCCTGTGTGTGGCGGCATGTTTGTCTTACTCCAAATCCTTATTGGACATACTCTAATGATTTGACTGTGCTGCAGTTGAAGGTTTAGGTTTCGCTCTACATTACAATAATCAAGTTCCTTTTTTGTGTTTGTTGATTCTTGTGATTGTGGGTTTATTTAAATTTTTGCCCTCTGCCATATTGTAAATGACGTAAGTGTATGACAGGTTAGTTTGTATCATCGTGCAAAATTCAGTACACTGAAGTTATGAATTCACGGAACATTTGTAGTTGGCTCAAAGATGATTGAACACGCGAAGCCCGAAGTCTGCTTGTGGTGGTGTTCGAGGTGCTTTGTGGAAGGTACACGGGCCGAGCAATGACAACGCTGAGTCCCAGGAGGCCGCTGCTCCATGAATGTTACAGGAGGCTTTGAATAAAGCTAAACAAGCATTTTGAGGCAAAGCCACATTGTAGTAAAGAGGCTTCTGCTGTACTTACATGGCAGGAACCGATCCTGTATCACTGATGCTAAGGCCTGGAAACTTCAATGTGTGTGTGATGCGTGATAGAAGGGTGAATGGCATGTGACGTAAATGTAGCGTGTATGCATTTGTGTGTGTGCGTGTTTGTGTCCTTGATAAAGAGCAGACTGGAAGTGACATTCAGGCTTTATCCAGCAAACACTGCTGTAACTGGCGCACACTGATGATGCTGCAGTTGTGAACCCCTCCCTGCCCCTCCCTCCCCCTGCCACACCTCGCTCACCCTGAATGAAGCCACTGGTGACGACAGCATCCTTGTGCTTCAGTGGGCAGCAGCATCATGGTGCATTTAAGGAGATGCTTCCTTTAAAGCCTCCGTGTCCCCTCGGGAAGATTCTGATTTCAGTCATAACGTCCCGATGATGCTGCTGATATAAGAGCCCACTGCCAGGCTGAAATCCCACCCTGCTGATTTCTTTCAGCAGTAGCCATTTCATGTAATTCCACACGACCATTACCTCTCTAGTTTGCAATAGTGGCATCGTCCACCATATCAAAGCTGAATTCGGATAGATTTTGTGCAAACAAGGAACTCAAGGGAGAAAGTGTTGCATGCTATTCCGCTGTCATTCTCGAAACAGAACTGCATTAAAGTTGCCGCAAATGAAAACTTTTCTTCCTGCTGCTGCCGCTTCACACTGGCCGGGCTTTGTTGTGGAGCAGTCCCAAGACGCAGAGGTTAGTGCTGACTGTGATCGTTGTTTTTAAACCAAGGACCAGTTCTAAAGATTGCAGGGAGTAACACAACGATGATGTGCAGCCACATCATCGGGTAGCACAACGATGGGTAACACAACGATGATGTGCAGCCACAGTGGGATCACCACAAATAACAACAACAACGACTGGTTGGTTGGTCGGGTTGCACTGCAAACAAATGCACCAGCTGATATTCTTTTTCTCAAGAAGGGTTTCTTACCCGTTTAAACGGCACACTCACTTACCATGCTCAGGGTTTTACTGAATCACCATCCTTACTCTAAACAGGAGTTAGGACGGGTTTGTGTTTACCTGGAAGCGTAGGATGATGGTCCACATAAGGCCTAGGGTGAGGCGGTGGTTGCCATCCACAATGTCGTGGGAGCCCACATTTTCCAGGTGGACCCGCTGCTCTTTGAGGAACTGCAGGGCTTTGTCTACGTTCTCCAGGCAGTGGATCCGCATACGGCCCCGTGTAGGCCTTGGCTGGGGGAAAATCAGACGGGTTATAAACGCAAACAGCTTCCGCCAGCAGACTGACGCTTCCGCCTGTTTGGATAGACGCAGATGCTTTGAGAATACTTCAAAACTGCGGAAAGAATGAAACGTTCAGGAAGAAGGAACCTAGCAATGGAGCTAGGACACAACATTAAAGCAATTTCTGGTTTATTTGATTGTTCGGAAAGGGTGCATACAGCATGCTTAAAGGATAAGACTTCACATCATGCGACAGCACATTATCATTCTTCCATGACGTGAACACCCGTGCACGCCCGTGTGCGTGTTCCCACCAGCAGCTCTCCACTGAGGACCTCCAGCAGTCTGGTGAGCATGTATCCATCCCTCAGGTCGTTGTAGAGGTCTGCTATGCGACAGGACACTCGGGCCAGGTGGGAGTTAACCCACTTGGTAAACGTCTTCTTCTGCACTGCATCTCGCTCGTCTGGGGAAATTAAACAGCAAACATTAAATGGGGAGGAGCAACGTGTTTCTCGTGAAGGTCAAATATTAACCTTAATAATATTAGCTAATAATAGGATTTAAACCAAAAGCATAATCTAATGAGATGCTGGAGCTGACACTTGGTACTTTATATTTAAAAATCAAGCCGGATGAGTTTCGATAAAAATATAGAAAGAAGAAAGAAATATATAAATAAACTTTAAAACAGCAAATACTCCACAAGCCACACCTCCATGCAGGTGTGTGTGTGTGTGTGTATGGATGTGCATGACCTCTGACCTGCCAGGGCTCTGATGCGGGAGCACTCGAACAGCTTTGAGCTGGTGCACTCCGTCTCCCAGAATCCCGAGCTGCTTTGTCGGTTGTTGTTGTTGAGTTGGCGCTGGGCTTCCACGTTGTCCAGGTCAGGGGAGGCATTAGCCATCGCGCCCGACGCCCTGCGACACACACACACACACACACACACACACACACACAAAGTTAATCATATTTGCCTGGAATGGACTCCAATGGCTACAGCCCATAGCACACCTTCAGAGCAGAACAACATTTAATTAACAATTAAACACGGAGTTCTGTGTGTGTTCCTGGCTGGATACGAAGATCACTTATATTGGTCAAATAAATCAGTAGAATTAGCAAGTGTAAAATAATTAACACGGTGTAACAAAGAAGGGCTACACTGACAACAAAAGGTATTCTTTTATAAGAAAAAAGGAAAAACATTATCTTGTTTCAGCTTCTCAAATGTAAAAATTTCATCATTGGGGTTTTGGTTGGTCAGATAAAATAAGACCTTTGCAAGACTTCACTGACATTTATCAATTCATATGTTAGATGAATAATCAAGGAATCAAGAAAATAATCTGCAGATAAAAGTTTTTTTTTTCATGCTGATTGAATTATTTCAATCACGCTTTGTTATTAAACTGACACCACATAACACTTAATTAATCACAAAGGTTCACAAATTCAGAGTCTCGCCGGGTAAAAATACAAAACATTTGCGGCAATATCCCCAGTTTAAATACAAACAACAACAACAACAACAAATAAGTCCACGATTTACATTTCCTACCCATTCATGAAAGATACAGAATCTGGCTTTTTTTTTTTTACAAAAGGCACACCTAAAATAAAATCTGTCTGAAGGTGGGAGACAAAGTAAAATGATCTGACTCATCTCTCTGACAGCTGAAAACCTGAGGATAAAAATAGCTTCAGAACTTTTGGTAAGAAATAGAAATGTTCAAACCTTCAAAATGATTACGAAAAGAATTTCGGTGTCACTTAAGATAATGAGCTGACTTCTGTCCAATCTTAAAAAAAAGCCCCGGATGTGTTCCTACGACCTCATGTACATCACATCCTAAAACTAAAAGTATCTCCTACAATAACTAACTCAAATACTAAAACAACTCAAAAGGATGAATTTGATCTCATCAGCTGTGTGAATAAATCTTCAGCGAGAGCTCCCAGTTATGAAGCCAAGGTGGAAGAGATCAGATCCTTTCAGAATATGTAAAAAATATGCTTCAAACTACTGCTATCATGTTTCTGAATTTTATAATTTCTTGTTGATATTTCACTGGTTTCCTTCAAAAATAAAATCGGCATATTTTATAATCTCTATTCGTAATTGTAACAGCAACATTAACGCTAATGTTGACGCTGTAGCGCTCACTAGGACTCGCTTCATCGATGTCTGAGAAGACATCTCCTGGTAAAGAGCACATA